CACACCCATAGGGCCGGGGATCTGTACCGACTTTACCACCCATAGTGATATACCTATTCGTCGTCGAAACTCTTTCTCTAGCATTGTTACAGAAATAATTGGGCATAATAGCTCGTTGTACGAAGTCATTGACCATCTTTTTTTGATACGGCGCCCTAGTCAGTTGAACCAAGCGTGTACGACATGTAACGCAGGAATTCTAATATAAAATGACTCGTGTTTGTCGAACTCGTTCTCTATTTTCGAATGCGGCCTAACACTTGTGCTGCGCATTATCCTCAAACAACCGGTAGCGAAGATTAGCGAAGATACAAAAATTCGTAGGATGGCCTATAGCGAAGTCATCTTTCGCTTCTGAAATACACTAGGCTAGTCGGAAGCTCGATTTGTGTTAAAATAGCAGAGCTGGTGGTTGTAGTGTTGTTGGTGCTCTCAACAATATTTTTATTTCGACAAAAGCTAAAAACATTTCCATTCTTCTAAGTACATTTCAATTCAAATATTGGCGGGTTGTCGGAGTGAACCGCCTTCCCTCAACCTGAGCCACGGTCACCCCAGTGTGTTATACAGAACTCCGAGACACTGTTCGCTCTTCCTAATTATAGTTCAATTCGCCAATGGAGTTTATAATTTCGTATCGGTTATTTCGGAATTTGTATTAGAAACTCATGCACAGAATATGTGATAATGATGTCGTCGTGATGATGAAGGCCTAGAGGAAGTAACTGATTAGAGCGTTCATTCAGGCCATTTCTGCCAATTGCCACAAGAGTTTGCTATTTTAACAAAGGCCAAGAACGAGTAGGGCAGTTACAACAGCTCCACGCTCTGATAGTCCGGACAGATGAAGGAAATTTGGGCATAAATAATACGGTAATAAAAAATAATAGCAATAACGAATTACTAGGAGGCAGAATATCCTATAATAGATATATCAAGACCAGAAGGCGGGAAGGTGTGAGAGAGATCGTAGCGAGACTATCCATTTCATGAACTACAACAAAAGCTTCTATTGAATAACTTAGTGACGTGGAAGATAAGATTTCTTATAAAATAAGACTGCTTTCGGGGAATCGCCAAATAATTGAAATTATAATGCTATGGTAGTCTATTTGGTATGCTTAATTACGTACGTTGATTTTAAATTGTATTAAACTCATTTGAATTCTGTTTTGGTGCAATACAGTTCTAATAATGCCATAGAATAACTAAATAGATCGTAGAATCTACTTTGAATTAATTTAAGCTACACAAAGGTAATAATCGTTCGAGTTTGCCCACCTCATTCTCAAGTATTTAATTATCTATATACAAACAACGTATACTCAAAACATTAAACGGTTCGGCTAAAAATAGAATCAATGGTAACTTTACAACTTGACGGATAGAGACATGTGTTCTACTGAAAACCACCGTAATTATTTCTTAATCGAAAATACTCATGAGACAAAATACTTAAGGCAATTTTCTTATTCTTATTCTTATCGGTTGTCTGCACCATTTTAAAACAGATATATAAGTTAAATATAAAATAGAATTCTTTATACAAATGAAAATTACAGTTCACGAAAAAGCAATAGCAGGCTTGAAATAAAAAAAAAACAGCGAATATATTGATAGCTAGGAAAAACGCAAGTTTACAGCTTCAGCTCTAGTATAAGTCTGTTTTTGATTCGGCTTTAACATGTTTTATGTTATATACCATATATAACATGTAATATACCATATATCGATTCGGGTAGGCGCACTTTACCGTTGTTAGCTAGAAGCAACACTTCAGCTATTTCTAACCTCATGCTGGTCTCATACAAAAATATCGCCGAGTGCCAATTGTAACCAAGGATTTTCTGCACTTTGGCAATGATTACTGAATACTTCGCCATATCCACATGTTTATATTAATTCTCACTGCAGAAAGGGAAGCTCTTTGCGTGTTTGATTTATTCTCATGAGACCAATCTGTCGAAGCTGGACTCAGTCAGCGTTGCATTGCGACGTAGAGAGATCGAGTGATCTTGTGCAAAAAAAATCTGCCTCTTTCCCAATCTGCTGAGTGTGCAGAGACGACGTTTGACCGGCCCTGACTTGCCAATAGGAGTCATCTATAACAACCCGTATCTGACATTACCTGTGGGCACGGTACGCCTACACATATCGAAACACAAGCCCTACAGGAAACGATCATTTGGAAACAATCCAGTTTTATTAAGCATACGGAGCTATATGAAAGAAAATGTAATGGACCAGTAAGAACGGACCTTTTTTTATTATGACAATAATATAATAATGTGCTGTGCCACGCCGCTGGCATTTTCCACTCTACTATACCTTCGGATAGGCAGAAAAATGAATTTAATCGCTTAATGCCAGGAGCGTTAAGGTCGAATTTTTTTTCACGAGATTTTAGTAATCATAGTCATCTCTTACAGTAATGATCGAAACATGGCGTTGTTGACCTGGGCCACATTCCTGCTAGAGATACTCTTGTAATACTCACTTTATAATAGTAATGATGATCTTAGCTATTTAATTTTAACTGAACCTGAAATCATTACGAAAGCTAAAGGTTTACCTGAGTCCTCGCACTGAATATAAAAACTGCCGTAAAATCATGTAGCAAAATTTCAGCCTAACTTCTGTCAATCGTTTTCAGCTGCTCGTCCATTTTCACCACGATACTCGAGGGAGATCATTGCGTTTAAGCGTTACTGCGCTTATTGCACACAGATATATGATAATGAAGACGCGATTTTATGTTTTGACTGGAAAATTTTTAGCACGACTGCTTCATATTGCATGTACGTTCAGACTTTAAAGGTCTCAGCTTATTTTTTTCACTGTTGTGTATAAGCTCTATGTGTAAAATACTTAATTACGACACAATTTTCTAACTTTCAAACAGAGTCGATGTGACGACGATTTATCGTCGATTAAGCTGCCACATTATAAGTTAAGTCCTCTATTTAAACCGTTAGCTATTGCTTTAGACAGTTGGCTTACCTAGGTTACCTAGGTTGCTGCTGCATTGTCGCGGAAGCAGGCTGCCATATTTTACGTGCTGTCATGTTCTATTGAATGAATCAATACAATTGCATAGTCGTTTCAAGCTGTACACGAACGAAGCAGTTGAAAGAATCGGTCGCACAGGTTCGTCGAAATGGCGACATACTACTACTTTACCGGCACTTATAAAAATCGTGTTATTATTGTTTTATGATAACGTTTCAGTGGACTAAATCAGTATTATAAAGAATGTAAGCCAAATAGAGTCATCTGATGTCGATTATCGCTGGCTTAGATTTTTCGGGGTCAACCGGACCCGAGCATGTCTGAGTTGGCACTTTCTAACGGTGTAACAAACAAACACTTTAAATTGAACACCGGTTAGGCAAGTGAACTTTCATTTATTAGACAAGTACACGCTGCGACTAATATGTCCAAGAAGTTAGGTTTACCATAATATGGAACACATTAATATTCCTTGTATTCAGTAAATATGCATAGAAAATTTCCCTTCTGTTGTTTTTCTAAGCGACCACTTGTGTGTCTTTTGCTGCTCGTTAGGGGTACGTTGGTGAGAGCCAGGGCCGGGGGTGACCTCTCTGAATGGTTTCAAAAAGTACCGCCATTATTCTCAGCGTTTATCATGTTTAAGCTGTTGTCGAATAGGAACAATAAGCTGGTCTGTGTTAGGAGTGGGATCGTCTAAGCTTAGCCTAGTGCAATACTTGCGCACCAAGCTTCCGTAACAAACTTATACGTTCCAAAAATAAGAGAATATGTGTCGTCGACAAAAGATCCACCCATAAGTTTAAGCTAGCAATGTATTGACCTTACCTGACACTCCAGAAATGACAAAAAGGCGAATCTTCAAAGGTATTCAATTCCACAAAGAACTAATATGTATTGAATACGTAGAAACGTATTTTCATATTATTTTATATATTCCCTTATAAAAATATGGTGCCGAATATAAGAAATCAATACGCATTATTGGCAACAACTTGTCGATAATGATAATAACAAACTATTACAGTACACAAATCAATTACTGGTACAGGAACACAGATTAGTGCCCCAAAACGTATGTTCTATACGCTTATTTGCTAATTGGGTACTCAGTCGAAAGGCATTAAAATACCGTTTATTTAAGATTAATTCATGTATACAGACAGTATACACATGTTCACCCAAAAGATATTCTTTCAGCATATAAACCTGCATTGCCAGCCGTGGTTGTTACCTGAATTGAAGGCTCTTATAAAAAAAAAAAACTAATTTTAGAAAATATGCGATGAGCAACTGCGTCCGATATGCGGAGATAACCGATCTATTGGTTTAGCATAACGACGATATAGATATTAACAGTACCGTGACTGGAATTAGCCGTATGTTCAAACGGCTGTTCCATACGTTTCATGTGTTTTTCCTTCACAGCTATAATAGTTAATTACATAGGCAACCTGGTAATGGGTCTATAATTTCTATAATTTCAAGATATAAATTATATTTTTGTTTCTTTTGAGACATGATTAAAGTGGAAAGCAGTTGACGCCAGTTTAGCGAGCATTTTCTACTGAACTTTTACGAGACTATAAGTTAGATCTATCTTGCGGCCTCGATATGATGAGCCTATTCAAGTACATGTCTAAATGGAAGAATCATCGCGATAACAGAAGCTGGTTATAAGGTTGAATCGAAATGGTATGACTCATCTCATTTACTTTGGACTTCGACTGGTTCACTTTTTACCCAATAAATGCAAAGGAAGGTACCACATCTTCCGCGGAAGGCCTTCGTAGGGCTCCATGTTGGAGATGCCCTCCTCCGCTCCCACTGTTTGCTGGGAGGTCTGTGACCCTTTCCACGATAATTTCGGACCCTCTCCGTTTCCCGTCAAGAACTGGGAATTCTGGGAGTTCTACCGGCTTTGCAAGAGGCCCTTCGTCAGAGCCAAGCACGTGCTTCGGATGAGAACCGGAAAGGTTCTCATCCGAATATTCATTAGCCAAAGTTTTCTATGACTGAAGTCGGGGGTGTCATCATGAGGAATACGAGTACATCTGTCAAACTGCCTAAATCTGCATTAGATCAACGACCAGATTATGCTTAAATCGTGAAGTCACACCTGAAATGAATAATAGCGGGTATAGTGTTCCGGTGACAAACTTTGCTTCTCATCGTCACGTGCGCTAGTCAAAGCTATTCTGAAAGGAAAAGTTTCTCAGTCATTGTAACCGTTGTAGTAGGCACTTGGCAAGACAAAAGCAAGCTGTTTAACCCTGGGTAAAGTGTTATCATTCTTGCTTTTTTTTTTTAGTGAAGTGAGTGTTGACAAAAATTATGGGAAAAGTTTGAGACAGTTCTATTATTCAGTTCTATTCTAGTGATCGAAAGGGATTTCTTTATATTCTACTCTAATGGTGGCTCAACATCACTGCCAAACTCAATCGATGTCGGCGATTGTGGTTTTCGTAATCGGGGCTGTAATAGGAACAGCTCTGGCTGTTGCAGAGCGGACGACCATAAGGTAAGTTCCCGCTTTTGCTCACATCTAAATGTAACCAAATAGATGCTGTTAAATTATCCTAAATAAACTGAAGCTCGCTCAAGCAACTTCTCATAATTGACTTTGAGGTTACGATATAGTAGAATTCTACAAACAACCGCCAAAAATATGAACATAAATTTTTAGTCAACTTCCTGAAACTATACTCACTGTCGAAATGTTTTGTAACCTTAGTAGGCGGTATGAATATAGCATGGTATTTTATGAAATTATTTTATGTACTATTGTACTCGAATACGATAGGGCAAGTTTGAGTAAACGATAACCTCATACTTTGCGTTACACGCATGAGCTACCTGAAGTGTTTTTCGCTTTGCCGGTTCACGTATTTTCTTTCTCGAGTCACGTATGACGCCACTTATTGGCCCATACGTCTAATAGTACGTTCCGTCAGACAACTTAATCGAAGATGGGTTGTTGTATATTTCACTTCCAAACCTTTCTTCGAGCTATAAGAACGCCTAGTCTTTGTTCATCAGTTTTGTTATAAAATTGAATTTTACATGCATTATCTAACTTATATATATATATATATATATATATATATATATACATATAATTCAAAGACTGCTTATTCTGTTGTGTCTCATTTAAATTGTAGCAATTCCTCTGCCACGCAAAAAACAATGAATCCTCAACTATATATGTCTTCTAGATGGAACTGGTAGGATTTTGCGGGCTGTTATTTCAAAAATTGGGCTTGTCCCAGCTATTCTTGTAACTGGGCCCTCAAGTTCACATGTCCTAGCAGTAGTAACTGTTTGGTTTGTAAGCAATTTGATGTTTTCGATTTTATAACAAAAGCAATAAACCTTCGTACGGCTTAGCTTATGTAGGAGCTATTTTACGGTCGTTTATGACCATGTATTTGTTGGGATAAAAGTTCTATTTCTAAGTAGAGCAGATTATCAAATAAACTACATACTCTAGCTAAACTAACCGTCATCGTGTCTGGCTCAACTAGAGTAAGTCCTCATTTCCAATAAACCCGATTCTCTGGTATGGCCTTCACTAAAATCAGCCCACGACAACGTTTCAAGCCAGGCCATTTGCTCTTTCTTGAGATGGCCTCTTATGATTAGTGTCAGTAGCTATTTGCTTACTTAGTTACCTATAGATACGGCAGTCGGGTCACTTGCCATTTTCAGCAAGAGCTATACCGTTTAAAATATAATATTAAAAAAATAAAAAATAATAGCCAGAAAAGAATCCGTTTCAATAGTTATATTTGCTCTAATTAAGGGGAATGCATAAAGAATAACTGAAAATAGAGTCCGCGTACGTATATATGTGTGTGTGTTTTTAATTAGGTCATCGTTTTCCCCTCAATGTTTATAGCTATGGCTAGCGTTAGATACGGGGTTGCTAGTAAATGGTTTGACTAATGTCAATTCCAATACTGGCTATCGGTTATCTGGCCCTATCCACACGAACTGACTAATCAAAAGTCTCTTTTTCTCGTTGACTACGTATTTATTTTATGCTCTTGTTATGGTATATAGCTGCAGCTTCGTCTTGATTCTAATAACTGTAAAAAAAAAATTAAAATTGTACGATTACATACTACGATGTCTGATACAAACTTCACATACTTATTTGCCCATTACTCTTAAGGATTATTCAGTACTGAGCATGCGCTCAGTGCTGAATAGTATCTGACAGAATGTTAAGAGTGTGCATTTTGTACTGGAAATGCAATTTGTTGTAACGCAACACTACGTGCCACCTACTGAGAGAGGTAGAGATTAACTGGCTCAACGGGTAAATGGACACAACGGCTAAATAAACAAAATTTCCGATTTCTATTGTACAAACATTCTTGCAGACAGTTTTAAGTATGGTGATCTAGAAAATGATAGCGGACCAGAAGGATATACAGTGTCTATGACCATTTACTCCGTGATAAAGGTGGCTCGAATTAGGTATTTGTCTACCGTGATGAAGTTCACGAACGCTGTGCTTTAAAAGCCTAAGTCTGGGACTAACACAGTATCGTTCGTGTTACGTGTTCCTTCCTTCCGTATTTCTACAGATATAATAATAATAACTGTTATTACCGCTTAAAATGTTTCTTTTTTAAATGTATGTTTCTTTTAGGGGTCTAATTTTTTTTTACTATAAATACGATAATGCTTATAAAAGCACTATACGTTTACATACAAGTACCTACGCGAGTACCGAGTTAAAGTAGTAAAGCATTTCATACTTACGGTGTAAATTGTTACGTCGATGGGTTTTCTTTGTCTATTTTGGAGAATACGTTTGCCCGCCCATCTATTTAGCTGGCAGTTATTTATAATACGGCCGGTCGTCATCGTTCTGGCCAACACCGCCTTGTCTTTGTCAAACACACTTCTGTTTCAAATCTTCCCGAATCACTTTCTCTTCCTTAGTTCCTACTGACGTGCGCGGGCAAAACGATGTCGCTGCTGGTGCAAGTGCGGCGCGCTATACGATGTGAATGCGTTGTATCTTCCTACCGAGCTTCGTTCTGCTACCGTTACTGTCAACTTTCATAACTCAAAGGGAATTGCTTCAGTGAATAACAACTGTTCGTTCCTGGATGTTTGCAAGCCCCGAGCTCCCATTGGCAGTCGCGTCCGTTGCGGCCCAGTTTTGCATTTTATTCCTTCGCCATCACAAACTTCTACCACTCGAAAACAACGTGAACTATTCCCAACCATGTGCTCTGACGGAAAGTCGGAACAATACATCGGTAGGCGAGACAACATAAATACATTTCCGGTCGCGGCGGTGGTACTAGCAACAACAACGATCATTATAGAAAGAGCAACAACGTTGATAACAACGGTAAATGTGTAGAGAAAAAGGTACTACAGCACTAGTGAGTCCTAATTGAGCCACATACATATTTATATGCGCGATACGACGAGGCTAATGACTTCTACGTTCCGAGTTTTACGTAGGTTTTATCATTACGAAACGAGCTCTGTCTTGTCTATGCCCGGGTTCGAACCTAGACTACAACTAGTCCCTAATATTATCATGCAACGATCCTAATACTAAGTTATTACGGAAATCATGTAACTGTGGCATGCGCAAAAATAGAAAGCGTTCGATCGTGCCAATCACATGCGCCGGCTATAATTGTTGTGATATATTAGATGTACCTTGGTACATTTGTGGATTTTATAGAGATTAATGTATCTGCAAATTTTTTTATTCGATACGTCTTTAGTGGGTATGAATTGCGAGGAACGTTAATGTCATAGATAAAGGTGACGATTTTTTTATAATGGTGCTACACCTCGAGACACCTTGCTGTTTTCGAGATATAATTGGTCTCTTTTGAATCTAACACCGTTCACTCAGGCTCTTAACTGAGTTGCAGTGAGCGATGGAACGTAAAAAAATCAGGTGGCTTGAAAATTGACAGCTCGCCCAATAAACCTCATATCTGATGCAGCACCTATTTCCAGAGACACCGTAATTCGTTGATCGAAAAAATTCAAGAACGGAGATTTTGAAGATCCAACTAAGGCCTATATTGCTGACGTGAAGAACTATGTATTCAAAGCTGACCGAATTTAAAAATTTACGGGTGTTGGCACTCAGCACTTTCGGTGCACGAAAAGGTTCCATATTTGTTTGTCTCAAGATTCGAGCGAGGATCAACAAGGTAGAGGTAGAAATGCTTGTCCTTTAACCACTACGTCATAACCGCGACTATTTTTGCGTTGAATTGGTATTTGAGGTGAAGATTTATCTTCGCAGGTGGTCACACCGGTGAACGGATGGAACCGAACTAACGGGTGCAAATTCTAGTTTCCTGACCACTGGTTTATGGACGACGGCCGAAGTGTACTTTCAACGTTTTTTGCAGAAGACAATAAACGTACTTTACAGTAAATAGCTCAAATCACTGAACAAAGATAAACCATTGTTGGTGCACGGCAGTACTCGATCTCACACCATAATAATGAGAATAGCAAAAATGCAAGGGTTATTCGAGGATGATATTTATCATGCTCATCAAATATTGCGCTTGCGGATGACTATTTTGTTAAAAATTGACAATTTACTTCTGAATAGGAGAACTGTTCAAATCTCAATATGATGTTGAAGTTGCGGCTTAGAAAAACCCGATATGCCTTTCTGCCACAGTCTACTGAACTGCCTAATAACATATATACTGTATGTTATGTATTAAATATAGGATTCTAAACATTAGCTAAGTATTCTTTGTAGGCGACCACAATAGTACGTATGTGGCGCGATTTGTTTTTGTCTTATGGAATTAATTTAAAGCTGCCTCCTGGAGTGAATTCTAATTGTGCAGAATGAAGGCCATGAACTCTCCTCTGTTTGCTCGTCGTCAAGTTCATAATACGAAAGCTGGATAAACGGCATTGCAGTGCCCGAGCGCGCACCTCACTTGTGCTTCCGAGTGCGCTGACTGAAGCTGTACACACGAGTGAAAGCAATTTCGACATGTAACCGACTGCATTGAAGCTTACTTCAAAGATCGTGCAACTAATCATCTTGTCATACCATCGGCTTGAATGAATTACGTTGCAAAGCACTCTATTATTAGTAGTGCAGTCTATTACTTGAGTTTCAATTTTCGAAATTCAAAATATTTATAAAGGGTGCTTAAAAAATTAAAAGAATATACAACATCAAATTTGAATAAACCAATCAAAGATACGACTTTTAAACGCGTATATGTTTCAACCTTTACTAGATTATCATATAAATACGAAAGTATGGCTATGCTACACTTCGAATTTTATCAGAAAAAGCTAGAAGTGAATAAATTTTGGGGGGTCACTCGACGGCCGGCCAGCTTACCTTGTTAAGTATTGCATATTCTTTTAGAATTGTCCTACACTGAGGAATAACAGTCCAGGTATCCTTTTGTGTATATGGGTTCGTGCGTGGTCGGTATCCGCTTAGCTCGTTCAGTTTCATATATTAAGTAGCGTTCGTATACTGTATTA